GGCAATGCGAGCTGCCGTGAGAATGCGTGCTGGCCGCCTGGGCACACCGGTCCCAGGATGCCCCGTGTGGTGGCAGGCTGCGACCCGAGTGGCCTCAGCACCCCCACCCCCTTCTCAGGGAAGCTGTGTCCTAGGAGTATACGACACTCCCTGCACCAACCCTGGACTCTGAGCCCTGGCCCTGCAGGGGGGCCTGGGGCATCCTTGGCCTCCACCCCAGGACAGGCCTGGGCCAAAGCTAGTCTGTATTAAGTCCCAGAGTGGCCTGTGTAGACATCCTGCCTACCCTGGGAGTCCCAGGCCAGGGCCCCAAGTGGGGCCCATCTCTGAGGGCAGGATTTGGGGGGGGTCTTCGTCAAACCTGGGAGCTCGAGGAGCCTAATGGCCACAGCACCTTCAGGGCAGGGTTCTGCTGGAACCCACAGGGACAAGTTGACACTCTGTTAGTCACCCCTTTCCTGGTTGCTATCAGCCCAAGCAAAATCCTCTTCGCCTGAGTAACCTGGCCTGAGGCTCATCAGCCCACACGTACCTGTGGACCCACCTGGCAGAACTCTGGGTCCACACGTGCCTGGGACACGTCACTAGATGCCCTGCTCTGACCTCCCCAGGTGGCTCAGGGCTTCCTGCCCGTGACCGGCAGTGGCAGGTCTCCAGTGTGTGCAGCCGGACAGGACAGACGCGAGCTCGAGTTGGGTTGCATCCCACCCGCCTTTGCTACTCCCAAGGCCCTGCTATTCCCAGCCCCGAGATGGCTCCCCTCATCTAACAGGGTAACCAATGGGCCTGTCCCCTGGAGTGGCCCAAAGTCCAGTTTCCACATGAGGCTGGGGAAGCACCTGGTCCCCCAAGAGCCAGGACGTGCTGGCACCCACCTCAGGCTCCCATAACGGGGCACACTGGCCCTGACAAGGCCAAGTCACCACCAGAGCCCTCTAAGCTGGAAAGAGCCCAGGAATGCAGGGGCAGCCGCAGTCGCTCACCGGACCAGGCCCCGACTCAAGACGGCCTGGACAGGCAGGCAGTTGCTGAGAGCCTTTCCCACCCAGCCTCGCCGTTCGTCTTCCAGCCCTCGTCCCCAGGCCGCTCTCTCCCAGGCCCGTCACACAAACTGCCTACCCACCTGGCAGGAAGCTATCCACAGGGCAGGCGGGGGCTAGCAGCTCCAACCGCCCTCAGCTGGGCCCACGGGACCGGCCGAGTGCAGAGCCAGGTGCACGGCAAGCAGGATGCGGCCACAGTCGGTTTATTTGAGACAGAACACTACGATCTGCTGGGCAGTAGGTGGGCACTGTGGTACCTGGCGCAGTTGGGAGGGAAGGGCAGGGCATGGCCTCGGAGTTGTTATCAACGTTCAAGGCAGAACCTCCCAGAAAACTCTTCCCTCACCATGGGACAAAAATGAAAATCACATGATCACCACTGATTCCGAGGAGCAACAGCTGGGGCCTCAGCGCACAGTCAGGGCCAGCAGAGGCTTGGGCCAGTCAGTGTGCCCCAGGCCCCAGCCGGCCAGCACTGTCCAGTGGGGGTGCTCTTCCTGCCCGGGGCCGGCCTTCTAGAGTCCCTGTGTCTTGTTTTGATGCCAGGTGGAGACCTTGGGCAGCCCCAAGAGCTTCCCTGAGTGAGGGAAGGACTCAGGTCACCAAGGCTCCACTGGCCAGGCTGTCCCTCTTCCTTAGGCTGCTGCAGTGTGGCACCACAGTGATGCCGGGCAGGGCTCTGCCTCCCGCAGAGGCTTTGAATGACAGAGCAGACAGCAGGTGGCTTCTGGGGGGCGCAGGCAAAGGGGGTGCCAGTTCATGATGGATGCAGCTGCGAGCACCACTCAGCACCAACTCAGCCTCTGCCCTCAGAGGCTGTGGGACCACGGGATGTGACTACCCCAGACAGCTCCACGAACCCTGCAGCAGCCACAACGCCTGCTGTCAAGCCGTTTCCTTCCCCACCGCCTAGCTGGTGGGCAGATGAAGGGTGTAGACAGGACCTGGAAACCTCGACGTCACCCGTCAGCCCGTCTCACAAGGCAGGTCAGCTGGAGACTCCTGTGATTCACCACAAGCCATCTCTCTGGACAAGAGGAAGCACACAGAGGCCGCCACCATGGAGCAGGGGAACCACCTGTGTCAGGGAGTGGAGCCCCAGAGCTCCGTGCTGGCGTGGGACGCCTCCTCGGCTCTGCCCACCCCTTGCCAGCCCCTCATGGAGGGGAGGAGCTGCTCTCCCCGGCTCAGGCCTCTTCGGGCTGTTCTGGATGAGGGCCAGAAACTCCCTTTACTGGGCCCCCTCACACTGAGGCTCTTGTGTCTTCAGAGTCAAGCGTGGCCGCTAACACTTGTGTTCCTCCCTCACAGCAGAAGGTCACACTGACTCTGCAGGCAGGAGCTGGAGGAACGGGCAGCAAAGTAGGCTGGGCCCCGCCCAGTAGATGTGGTCACTGCCTGGCCGGTCTGTGGGGTGCTGCTGTGCATGTGGGGGCTCAGAGCCCACTGGGGCAGTGGCAGAGGTTTCCAGAAGTAGGAAGGAGCCAGAGCGCCTGTGGGAAGAGCAGAGCAGGTGAAGGTGCTGCGACACCCCACCCACCAGCTGTCTGGCCCGTGGTTTCTGCCAGCGGCCGCCTCAATCCCAGCACAATTAAAGTACTGACAGCTCCAAGTGTGGGCCTGCGGCCAGCAGCCACAAAACCACAGGGCTCGTGCGGGCCTGACCTAAGCTGCCAAAGCGCCCTGGGCCATGCTGGTACATATAGTGGTGGACGCTGGAGTGCCCATGCCCCCGTCCAGCTCTGACGTCCTCTGAGCCCTGGCAGACCAACTCGCCACCATACTCGCATCCCTGAGGCACCCAATGAGCCCAAGTTTGTAGGAAGCTTCGGATTCTGCGAATGCGGTGTGATGAGCCGGAACGGGGCTAGTGTTACAGCTCACGTCAAGAGTTTCTAGAAGCCCTCTTGCAAAGGAAAGTCAACTGACCAAGGGTAGGAGGGCCTTGACCTTTTGAACTTTTCCAACTGTGAATTACGTGGCTGTCATCTTAACAACTGTCTCCACAGAAGTTCAGGGAGTGGACAAAACTCTGGCTAGGGGCTTGAGGTGTCTCTTCTTGGCGACATTCCTGAGCTGGTCAAGGGCTGCCCTGGCCTTGATCCCTGGCTTGCTAGATGGTGCTGGTCCACGGCCTGCTGCCTCCCAGCCTGCAGGAGCCACATAATGGAGGTGGGAGGTGGCCAGTGAATGAGCAAGGCTTCGTCTCTTTGCAGCTGCTCCCCATCGTGCACACTGCCGCCACCTCCTGGCAGACCACGGTGGTACCGGAGCCTCACAGGAGCGCGAGCCCTATCGCATGACTGTCTGGCCACGTACTGCGATGTGGTAGTGGGGTGCATGGTGGATGAAGTGTGCTTGGGTCATCCCGGGACCAACCTGCCTGTCTCTGGACAGACTGTCTTCCAGGAGGCCAGTCCCTGGTGCTGGAAGGCTGGGGACTGCTGGCTGCAAGTGGCAGGCATCCCTGCCCTGCCATGTACCTGCAGGAGGTGGGTACACTCTGGGCATGCCCACGACACTCTGCTTTCGAGCCCATGTAGCACCGGGTCTGCAGCTGGCCGCCAACTCCTCACAGAGGAGCAGAGTCAGGCAGAGGGGAAGTCAGGCCCTGCGGGGTGTCGGGCAGGGCCTGGCGGAGGCTGCCCGGCTGGCCTCACATGGTCCGGCTGTACTCGATGCCACCTTTGGTGGAGATGCTGGACCATGGCAGGAAGCTGCAGAGCAAGCTGTGGGCCTGGCGGTAGATCCTGTGTGGGATGGAGCAGGGGCTCAGGTTGGCTAGCGCAGAGCCCAGGTGCTGGATGTAGTCCGTGGAGCTGCGTTAAGGAAGACTCCAGAGGGCCCTTACCTGCCCATGCTTGCCAGATGCACCATCAACGGGGCCTAGCAAGGGGACTGGACGGTACCCCTGCAGAGCACTGGAGAGGCTCAGTCGGTGGGGGGCCTTCACTGGGCTAAAGAATAAAGGGTGGCACCTGGGACAGGAAGGTCTTCTAGTGTGGCCTCGGGCAGACACTGCACCAAGGCCAGGACAGGGAGTGGGTGCTGGGGGAGGGGTCTGTAGAAAGGCAAGTGAGTCTGGGAACCAGCAGTTAGCGTAATGGCTACGTCGCTGGACTCCCATGTAGTCGACCGCGGTTCGCGTCCCGGACCCGGTGGCTTAAAACTCACACCGGGCGCGTGTGCGTGCGTGCCCAAGATCCCGAGAGGAGAACGGAGGAGAAGGGACTGTGGCGTGACCATCCCCCCTGGGGGGTGATTTCTCACTTCCTGTCTCTGTCTGGCAAGTGCACGCGCCCTATAGCGAAAACCTCTCCAAAAAAAAAAAGGAGAAAGGCAAGTGAGTCTGGTTCTCAGCCAGACCTTCAGCCCTCAGAGCGCAGGAGGGAAGGACCTCCGAACCCTGCCAACACACAGGTTCTGGGACGATAGGGCCTCTGCCTGCCTTCTGCCTGATGACCCAGCACTCTCAGAACAGGAAGCTCTTCTTGATCAGTATTTGTTGGATGGACAACGGCTGCTTGGCCATGAGGTCACTCATGCCAGGCTGAGGTCTGGAATGTCAGATGCCGGAAAGCACCTGTTCTAATACACATGGCCAGACCTCGCACACCAGACTCACCCACGCATGGTCTGCTCATGGAGGAGGGCACCAACAGGCTGGGCTATGGGAAGGAGACCGCAGCTCTGGGTCACTGGCTGCTGCCCTCTGCCCCCACAATGAAGGATATAAGATCGTCCACGGAGGGTGGCCGCCGTTGATGTAGAGCACGTAGGTGAAGCCATCTTTGAGGACCCCCCGGATGGAGTAGTAGTAGGGGAGGTAATGATGCTGCTTAAAGTCTCTGTTCTCGTAGAAGGTGATGGCCGTGTTGTTGGTGGTGAGCACGTGCAGGTAGATAGCTTTGCAGTGGTCCTGGGCAGTGGTGGATATGTGATCCTTCAAACTCTCAAGTAACAGGGACCCTGGGGGACAGACCGGGAGTGAGAAAGGAAACGTGCGGCAGACAAGGGTGAGGTCTCTGCGGGGATTCCGAGACCTCCCTGCCCACAGAGTTGAAGATGAGCCTCTCGAAACCACCCACTGTCAGAGTCCCCAGAGCCTGCTGCTGCCTGAAGCTCGTCACCTGCAGACTTCCAGGTGGGCCAGGTGGACCACGGGTGCGACCTGGTGGTGCTGTCCCCAGAGAACCCCAGTGGAGACTCACCCGCTCAGGCCAGCTTATGATAAAGTGTGCACGTAAGCCCAGGCAGGCACAGGCGGACTGGGTGAACAGTGAAGATGGCACTCCCCTGTGTGGTGAATGGCTGGCACCAAGTGACGGTGGCCAGACTGGTTTGTCCACCGCTTTGTATTCTGAATTGAGAACACCACACCACCAGGCCCAGGCTGTGGGAATGGCAGGCGGAATGCAAAGG